TTTTTTACATTTAATTAGTTTCAATTAGTTCGTGAATCACATGACTGATGATGCCACTTAAGAGGCGAAACATGTCTCATAATATATTTTAACTTATTTGTAAAATACATGGCAACTCTCTATATTTATCAATAACATCAATAACGAAATCACGCCCCGACATTATGCAACTTTCGACTTGACTGGACGAAGGCTCGTGGCAGACTGGCATGAGAAGGGACCACGTTTCCGCCACTCACGAACCGATTTGTAGTGGCTCGATCGCCGATTCCCCCATTCACGATACGATGGCGCGATGGAGTGATGGAGCGATCGGATGGATTATGGCTCGACAGAATATCCAAACGAGCCCACCACGCCACGCCAATGGACTTCAGTTTCCGCATTCACGGTACAATTTTGGAGCGACACCGCGCCATTTGGACGAATGGAGCGATCGTGAATGGCGGCCTTTAGACAAGACCGGAGTACATTATTTCTGATCCAGAATTGTGTAGTATTGTGGCACAACATACCGCTCACATTCATCACTCTACTGCTTTTGGATAATGTTTACATGTGAACTGTACAGCATTATTTTATTCAATGTGATGATTTAATAGTTGGAACTTCTGCGTTATATTCTTGAGGTCTTGGGTTAAAAAACAGCCTGGAGACCATTTGTCCTCTTGAGATATTTTGTGCTTTTCATTAATCATTCCTCGCTTTGGGCATGAAGTCACATTCTTCGACAAATAGCTGGCAATTCTTAGAATCAGTTTGCATCTTAACAGGCTGAATTCAGCATTTGTATGACTGGTTTTCTTTCAGTCAGTTATGCATATTATTCGACCACAACATGTAACATAAACTCTTGGTGGAGGGAGACTATTGACTTGGCACATAAATTCTGCCGGTGGATTGTGCAGCAGAAAAAAAAATCATTTGCATCCAAATTCATAGAATTTACTTTGGCTTTCATTTTTGTGACTGCCCATCTTGCTTCCAACAGTAGAAAATGGTTGAAGTTTATCAAAACTAATATTATATTTTGACATTGTTTTATTTCTTGAAATATATCCTCTCCAGTGACACTCTACTTGATGGTTGAATACCAAGCACTGCTTTTATTATGTTGAACTCGACTACATGCACTAATGCAGCACAAGTTGGGCTCTGCGTGTCATATATTTTCCTTAGCTAGTGGCTGAGGAAAAAGTTCTTAAATTTTGAAAAGTCAGCGAGGAAAAGTTCTTAAATTTTGAAAAGTCAGCAGCAAGTTTGTCAGTGAGAAAGACTACTAAATGCATGTTAGAAATATTTGGACTCAACATATCTACAGCTGAGACCGGATGTTCTTTTACGGACGGACCGTCTGAGTACGACTTCAGGTGTTTCTCAGCTTTCTGAATGAGAACAAAATTTTTTAACGAAATGTTTTCACCTGTTCATATAAAAAGGAAACCTTTATGCTGACAAGTTAGTACCTTTTTCAGGTTTTCTGTTTTATTATTTTTCAATTGGCCTTGAAAATTTTCAAATTGAGAATGTTTGGTTGAGTAGGGACTTTACATATTGTAGTCTTCCGTGAGTGTTACTAATTTCTTATAAATTAGACACAGGATTTTCTTTTACATGTTCAAGAAAGGTCATTAGTCCACTTTTCTTGAAATATTCTACCTTCAATATCAACCTTTTTGGCATGTCCTTACAATTTGTATCATTGGATCTTCACTTTCTGTATATTCTGTATAGTTTCTGCTGTGGAGGCTTCTTTTATCTGCATCAGTCCTCTTCCGCCATCATTTCTTGGAACATATAAGCAATCAGCATCTTCCCTTAGGTGATGCTGTCCATGGATAGATGGCGTGTTTTGACAAATGAAAGTTTTCAAAATTCAGTTATAATCTCTCCCATATACTGTAGAGAATTTATTTTGTTTTACAAATATAACATTGTAAATTGAATAAAAATTTACTTGGATATTATCCATCGTCTAGTAATGAAACGTAAAAAACGTAAAACGACGTTTCGGAGATGAGGCTCTATCTCCGTCTTCAGGTTCCTACTCATCTCCGAAACGTCGTTTTACGTTTTTTACGTTTCATTACTAGACGATGGATAATATCCAAGTAAATTTTTATTCAATTTACAATGTTATATTTGTAAAACAAAATAAATTCTCTACAGTATATGGGAGAGATTATAACTGAATTTTGAAAACTTTCATTTGTCAAAACACGCCATCTATCCATGGACAGCATCACCTAAGGGAAGATGCTGATTGCTTATATGTTCCAAGAAATGATGGCGGAAGAGGACTGATGCAGATAAAAGAAGCCTCCACAGCAGAAACTATACAGAATATACAGAAAGTGAAGATCCAATGATACAAATTGTAAGGACTGTAAAGTTTAACTTCTTCCCAAATTTCTAAATAAAATCAATTGTCTACAGTGTATGGGAGAAATGTTGTATTACACACTTAAAAACACAATTTTTTACTGTAATTTTTTTCCACGAAAACAAGGATTTATATTTTCTTTCATACTTTGTACCCCCAGTGCCTTTCTTTTCATTTTGATATTCTGAATTCAGAATTACGTCCTTGTAACTATTATTTGCTCCTTGGTGTCATGACTGTCACAGTGTTTCATATTTTATCTTTGTACGTCAGTGGTGAATAGTTGTCATCTTTGGTGGATGGAGTTAGTAGTAAATATATAATGTGAAATCATTTTTCAGCAAAACTTGTTACTTATTTTTCTGAGTTTGCAAAACAAGGATAGGTAACAGTCAGAACATACTGCATTAGTACCATTAATACAATCATCTTGTCCTATTAGCCATGTCAGTTGGTTAAAAGTCACTGACATTTCAGAGACCATCATGTCATCAGGACTGTGGTCACAGCCCTGATGACATGTCTGATAGCCCGAGAAGATTCTATTAATGTTAGTTGCTGTGAAAACTTTACATCATACACATTTATTGAAGTCATATGTATGTCATAATGTGTATTTGTAAGCGATATACAGGCTTGGCAAAAATGTTTAGACTCAGAGTTTTGTGTTTGTTCTTAATTATGGTAATCAATTTGGGGAAACAATTTTTTGTTGATGTTCTGGGTTGATGTCGTAGGCAGATGCAAATGCTTAGAGAAACATCGGCATCTGCCCATGATTTTATAGAAACCCAGAAGAATGTCATTATCCCGTTTGTGAGATTTGAGATTTTCGCGGTGGTGACGATCATGATGACGTTCTTCTGTGTTCTGGTGCCTTGTGGACTGGTCGGTAGATGCCGGCACTTCTGTCTCCATTTTCAGGGCTGAATTGACAATGCTGGGAATCAGAGGGGTTGTATAGGGTGGCAGAAAGGGAAGTATGAAGGAATGGGGCACTCAGAACAGAATGAGTTAGAGATTGAGCTGGGCCCATGTGGGGACTCCAAGCAGACGTCACTGCAGTAGGAGTAGATGGAGGGTAGGAGTGAAGAAGTTAACCCTTGAATCGGGCATGATAGTCTCTCTTTTGTGATCTGAAAAACGAAGACAATCTCACCAAGTAATCAACCCTATCCTGTGGTGGCCTTGAAGAGGATTGACATATTCTCTCATACTGTTCCCCCTCTACTCATCCCTACTGCTTCAGTGCTTGGAGTCTCCTCATTGGCTTGACTTAATCTGTATCTGCTTCCATCCTGATTGGTCCATTTCTTCAGACTTACTTTCCTGTCTCCCTATACATATAATTCCTCTTGATTCAGAGCATTTTCACTTCAGCCCTGAAGATGGCAACATGAAATTCATGCACCAAGTTGATGTAAGTGGGGACATGTCACTTGACTTGTTAAAAACCGCCGTGAGACTATTACCGCCATGTCTGGTGAAGTCGCAACCGCCCTTTATGCCATTTGTCAGGGTTCATTCTATTTCCCTGGTTTTGTGTCATTGTGCTTCCTCTCCCTATAACAAGGATCATCTTCATCTTCTTCCCCTCTCAAAGGCTACTTTGAAGATTGGTGGAGGCCACGCAAAGGTCTGTACCGCAATTAACACGTAGCATTTAACTTTGTTTGTGTCTGCTTTGTGTTCGTTTGACAAACACTGATCTGTCTCTTTCACGTTCTTTCATTTTACTTCTTTTTCTAGTTCTTAAATAAAAATTTCAGTCACGTATGCATTATAAATGGTGCAGTGTAAGGTAACTACCGTAAAATAAACGTGTAGAATGAATGATCGGACATTCTTGATGTATGGCAGAGTCCTTGAGAACCATTAGTTCTGAATCCATGGATTTGAAAATCTAATTTGCTCTCCCGTTAAGGTTCTACTTGTATTTTATTTACCTTGTTTAACTTCATGTGTATAGTTGAAGTGATAACATTTTTTTTGTGTGTGTGTGGAAGGAATGGGATTTTGATAGATTACGGTGGCTTAGAATAAGTCACTTAGTAAGTACAACTGTTGTACCAAATGACAGTTACTGCCTTTATGATGTGTTGTTTGTTCAGTATTGTATTTAACATTAGTATGATGTTGCAACATATCTGTTCGAATAATGTTAGAAGGGCTTCTTCACATCTTAAATTGCTTAGATTTGCTTTTCTACCTTGTTGGATTATTATCACGTGTGCTACAGGATGAATTTTTTCATAGGGTTCAGTGTATAACGGTTCGACTATTACTCATTCGTGTTGTCGATGTATCATGCCATTTGGGAAGTAGTTTATGGCTGTCTGATCTATGGGCTAAAGGTTTGTTATTATTTCCTTTAAATTGGCGGCATGTTTTCTACAGTAGAAAAACCTGTTTAAATTCAACCAGAGGTCCAAAATATTTTATTTTCTCTGATGCACTATAAAGTAATCTTTAGTTGTTTGAAATGAAAATTTGCATAATAAGAGAAATTGTTTTCATATCTTGTTTTTGTGATGTGACAAGTTTTTAGACTCTGTGCAATTTTCAAAATAGGAAAATAATTTTTTTTTCAGTATTGTCTACAGACAAGAGGAACACTTTTGCATTTACTATTTTTCTACATCACACAATTTTATAAGTTTTTGGACACTCCAGTGTCTAATTTTCAAAATAGACAAACATTAATTTTCCAGCGTTTGTATCTGAGATTAATTTTCTCTATATTTACCTCTTTCTGTGGTGATGCATCATTGGAAAATTTTTAGACATCTTTGTTCTTAATTTTCAAATTAAAAATAATTTGTTTCAGTGTGGTTGTCTCTTCAAGAGGGGCTTTTTGTTTTTATTTTCTTCTGTACCATGCCATTTGGGAGAAACATACCATTGTGTAATTTTTGGACACCATGTGTCTAGTTTTTGCAAGGAAATGTATGATTTCCAGTGGTTATTTTTTGAAGGGAAACATTTTTGGTATTTGTCATTTTTTCTATGAAGCAACATTGTGTAGGTTTCTTTGGACACTCCTGCACCAAATTTTCGAAACATACAAAAAGTCAGTGAGTTTCCTGGAGTTGTCTTTCCAAAATAATTTTTTTGTATGTATTTGTAATTTTTCAACAACACCATTTGGGAGAAACTTGTCATTACCTAAGTTTTTGGACACTTTATTTTTTTAAATAGAAAGTGTCGATGATTATCCTGGGATTGTCTTTTCAAGAGGATTGTGTTTTCTGTGTACCATATTTTTGTGCCACATGCCATGATTGCATTAGGGTTTGGTTACACTTGTGCCTAATTTCCAAAATAGAAGAATGCCAATTTCCACAGGCTTGTTTCTTCAGAAGGAACTTTCTTGTATTTACAGTTTTTTCAGTGATGTGCCATTTGGGAGAAATATGCCATTGCATTTTTTTGTTGTTGACATCTGTGTGTCTAATTCTCAAAATTGTGTAAGGTTAATAATTTTTCTGAGATTGTCTGCCCAAGATGAACATTTATATCTCTACTCTCATTGTATGTGAGAACATTGGGATGGACAGATGGATGGTTGGCTATTATACTTGGGTCATATAAAATATGCGCACATGCACGCATGCACACACACACGCACACAAATAATTTTGTATGAATACCATGCAGACAGTGGAATCTGGTCAGGTTTATTTCAGTATTTGGGTTATTATATTGATAATTGAGACTATATATTACTGTTACATAATGACTTTGTAAAGGTGTAGTTTTTATGTTTGCAGTCATTAGAGTCTGGTTTGGTTGCAAGTTTAATGATTTTTAATGAGAAAATGTGGTAGTTATGTTTGTGCCGTAATCTACGTATAAGAGGACTGATATTTTAAGCTTTTGTAGTTACTGAATGCATTAGTTATGTCAGTATGGAGCGAATTTTTAGTGATTGATGTGGTGTGTGATGCGCTTGTTCATTGTATGTGTACATTTGCATCGAGCAGTTGCATCGTGTATGACGGCAGTCCCGGATGGTGGAGGCAGTCTCAGAAACATTGGAATTTCATTTAATAGTATCGTAGCTTGCCTGCAAGACTATCAGTTTCTAACATATCGTCTATATAAAGACTCACTGCTTTCAGTTCTTGATGTATATAAAATCCTCTTTGCTTTGTGATAGGGAAAGCTGGGCAGCAGAATGAAATTGATCTTTTAAGCACAGGAGAGATGGATCACAAAATGTCATCTCTAAGCGAAATGGTTGTCCATGCTTAATGTAATTTTATTTGACTAGTGTTAAAAAAGTTGTGCATTATGCTTCAGTTTTCTTTACCAAGTATCAATGTGGAACTTTTGGTTGACAAATAATTTAAAATGAAGCAGCAGTTGATCTGGTTCTTAAGTTATTTCTTTTCTTTTTATGATGTGCAATTTTGGCATGTTACATGGCAAGATTTGTGACTTGTCTATTACCTGTTTCTTCTTCTTTTTTTCTCATAGCAGCGTTTGTTAGTTTTGCTGTTAACGAACGAAGAGGTACAGGATGCGCGTTTATTTGCTTTGAACAGTGCTGGATATCAGTTCTGTTATAAGATACAATTTTTGAGTGAAGGAACACACACTATTTTGAAAAGGCTTTAACTCATGAAAGCACTGTGTGATTTAAAACAGCAACAACACTAGAAAAAGGCGGACGTAATTAATTCATGAGCAAATGAAAAGTAATTAATTGTCTGTAGTTCTAGCTTTGATTTTGGTGTACTTGTAGATTGTGTATTTGGAACTTTGCTCTCCTATGAATAAATGTATATATTTCTTTAAAGTAATATTTCATCCAGTTACACGTTTCTCAGGAAATTGTGTCTGTACAGTGAGGAGAAAGAAAGAGAAAGGGGCAGATAGTGTGCAACAGTTTTAGAACGCTCTTTGTCTTGGCTTACACACACGCACACACACATGTGCACACGCACACATAGAGATTTTCAACAGAGGTAGCTCTTGCTATCGCCTGAATGTCTGTGTGTACAGATCGGGAAAGTGAGGGTGGGGGGGATAGTTTTACGGAACAGAACTTCAAAGTGAGCAGGGCGGGGCTTGACCAGCCGGCACCTACCTGTTCAGTTTAGCGGCGTGGCTCTGTGAAATAGCAGTTAAAACATTTGACCAGTTAAGAACAGAATATGAACATTTCTTCCTACCTTTCAAGCCCAGATTTTTTGCTTAGTAACTGATCAGTGGAGGAGCCACAGTGGATGGCATGGTACCCTGAGTAACTTAACTTGCTGCTTAATACTTTTTGTATACAGAATGGTTCAGTATTAGTTAAATGTACAAATTTTAGTGGTGAGTTGTTCATCGAAAAACGATGATAAAAGTTTGTATAAACATGGGTCTGCAAATCCTTAGTTTTTGAGTTCTTACCTGCTGCAATTTGAGGGACAAAGTGTCTGGTGAGCTTAACTACTGGCCATATGATGGCCAACTAGCAGTGGTAGACAGACAGACGGTAATGTAGTTAGAGGGTGATTGTGGTTAGGGCTGCCCTTTAATACACTTGTGATGCTCTGTTTGTTTATGAAATTTTCAATAATAATAATAGTATGTGTTACCACTGTGCAGTAAGCAATTTTATGTGCACCTGGCTACTACGTATGCTCAACAGGTGCTTTGTCCAACAAATCCCATCAAAAGGGAGGGCCCTAACTTGAAAATTAGGGATTTGCAGGCCCATATAAACATGAATATTTTTTCTCATTGTTTTTGGATGTACAACTCACTACCAAAATTTGTATGTCAGTGAGTCACTTTGTATGAAAGCCAGTTTTCAGTTAAAGTGTCTTAATTTGTATAGATCATTCACATTGTCTCAGTTAATTCTGAACAAGATGTTTATATATAAAAATCTTATATGTACTAACCAAAATTCATTGGGGAAATCTCTCTCATATTTCACGTGAAACTGTTTTAAATTATGTAGCATGTATGTACACTAGTTCAATGTATCTAGCTGCATTTGTTTCCTCTTGTTTGTATTTCATTACGTTTCTGCTTTTTGGTGAAAAACCGTGTTGCAGTGGGTGAGAAATGAGCATTTAGTTATGAAATTATCTAAAAATGTAAAGATGAAAGTAAATTATGTCTGTTTTCAAATATAATGTGCAGAGTCGTTGCATACTTTAATTTATTTTCATGATTTATATGTCTTTTGGCCTAAGTAGTGCTGAATGTTCAGGCCTTGCTGCTTCTTATTTCATCAATAGCCCTGATTTTACAACCAGGATATTTTGTTCTTGAGAAATTTCTGAATTATAAAATATACGTTCAGAATTGTATGAATTGTCACCCCATTCTGATTACAGAATTATTCATATTTATGAAATTTGTTTTATGTAGTGGGTTTGGATTCTTGTATCTTAATTGTAGGACTGCTAGTAGTGTATATGTCATTGTCTGAGAATTGCCACTGGTTCTGGGGGTTGATGTACTAGATGTGACAGTGACATCAGTTTATTTTTCTGGAGTGTAGTTGCTGATTTATTTTTTCTCTTTCCCCATGATCCCAACACCAGCTCACGCGTTCGACTATTACGGTAAGTTATGATTTCTGTTGTCCTGGTTTATTATTATTACTACTATTATTATCATAATCATTATCAT